TCGGATCCAAGTTGGAAACATGTCTTGACATGCCACGGAGTTTCCCTCCGGCCATGTCACTGGGGGTCGTTGCTCCTCAGTTGTTCACCAGACACGGGAGTGTGAGGGGTGCACCGCTCCTCCCGCCAGCATGTCCACTCAACTCCAACACCCTATATTTGCTAACTGGCTCAATAAAATTACCACCCAACATATATACATATGTTCACTATGATCGTTGGGCACATGATCAAACACTGATAGCTAATCTAACAACTGATTAAACAGGCTTAATGCAGGGATCTATGACGCAGGGTGCTCACTCCCTGGTGCTCAACATGACGCTCACACAGGCCGCCCACAAAAATCGCTATAAGACTGCTTCACAAGGCTTCTTCTAGTCCTGACTTGAGTACATTGTGTCGCCCAGCAGGCTCCACAACAGAAACGCCTGCTTACTTCCTTCCTCTTGAAGGAGCACACATAATTACAATTCCACAAAGGTCTAACTCCTGTTCTAACTCTTCTTACTCTTACCAATGCTCATTTCCAGGTCGCCTCTAATTTATCCAAATCACAGAGAAATGGTGTACTGTGTCCCCAACAGCTTCCTCACACTTGCGAGCAAGTACCCTTCACTCCACCACTATCACAGGGAACTATTTTCTTCCTCCTTTCAGGAGATCAACAAAGTACAACCATCACTGACAACTGCTGTAGCTCAGGTGAGGTCACAGCGTCCTGCTAGCTTCATGTCATGTTACCAAAGTATCGACATCTCGTTTCATGTTACTTATTACCAGATGCTCATTCTCTGCTAGTATTTTTAAATTATTCACTGGCATTTATTTTATATTTTCTTTCTCTGACTTCTTAATCTCAGGTCCAGAAAGCAGAATAACTCTCCCTGGGTAGACTCGCTCCACCATGCTACATGTATGAAGGGAGGGTTGACTGAGCATTTGTGTGGGGGCAGGGAGGGTGAGGGGTAGGGATGTTTTCTGTGTGGCGGAGGATGGTGGTATTGCCCTCCCTCTGGTGTTGCTGGGATTCTGGTTGTGGGTTCCCCCCTTGCCTCTGGGAATGTTGTGTTGGGGGATGTGATTTCCTAGTTTTCTCCTCACACACTGCACTTCATCCTTGCTTCTGTTGCCATGGCTCTCTCCTCCCTCGACCTGTCCCTCTGGAGGAATACTTTTTTGTATTCTCCCACATATTGCAGATGACTCTTCCTTTCTAGAATATCCTCCTTTATGGTCTTGTTTACAAACACTATCTTTATCAGGTGGTCTCTGTCCTTGTTGTACCAGCCCAACCTGAAAAACCTCCTCAATGTTTTTTGGCCCCTTCCATCTTTAACCCCTTTAGCATTCCATTCACTGCCTCTCTGTCCTTACTATTCCATTCTTGCCTATTGGAGCCTTCCTGTTACACACACAAATCACAATAGTGTGATGCATCAAATGAACAAATCCACAAGGGCCGTGATGAGGGTTTGCACCTACATCTTAGCAGATCCCAGATGCTGCCTTAATCGACTAGGCCATGACATGGTCAAAAGAATTGCAACCGGGAGTTCATTTTCCTTCTCATGGTTCCTGCAGTCTCTCCACGACACAAACCCAGGGTTTTACACAATTCCCCCATGCACTCGGGATCTGTCAGATCCTCTCAGACATAGGTTCGAAGCCTCATCACGGCCCTTGTGGATTTGTTCACGAGCCTTCCTGTTCTCTGATGCCCACAGCTACCAATGATCTTTTTCTTTCCAGCAGCTGACTGGTGCACCTTGCTGCTTCCTGTGAGGTAGCTGCTTGTGTGGCTACCTCCCTCACTGTGGCCATTGCTTCTGAGCTCTTTCCCAGAATTTCAGCAAATGTTTCACGTACAGAGGCATTCCTTTCAGATGAACCATTTCCATCATCCCTTTGGGTGATTATCTGAGGTTCAGTCTCCATATTGTTCTCACTGAGGGTTTTTATCTCCTTCTTTGCTTGGTCAACTCGCTTTGCAGGTTGTTTATTTTATATTTCATTTCATGCATCTCCTTCCTGATTTCCTCCCAAACTTGGGAGAACATTTCCTTCATTAAGTCAATTTGACTTTTCCCAGTGCTCTTGATGTGTGTACTTACCTAGTTACTCACCTAGTTGTGTTTGTGAGGGGTTGAGCTCTGGCTCTCTGGTCCTGCTTCTCAACCATCAATCATCTGATGTACAGATTCCTGAGCCTACTGGGCTTCATCAATATCTACATTTGAAGCTGTGTTTGGAGTCTGCCTCCACCACATCACTGCCTAATGCATTCCGCCTGTTAACTACTCTGACACTGAAAAGTTCTTTCTAATGTCCCTGTGGTTCATTTTGGCACTTAGTCTCCACATGTGTCCCCTTGTTCCTGTACCACCCATGTTAAAAAATTTATCCTTATCTACTCTGTCAATTCCTCAGAGAATTTTGTCGGTAGTGATCAAGTCTCCCCTTACTCTTCTGCCTTCCAGTGTCACTGTGTGTGTGTGTGTGTGTGTGTGTGTGTGTGTGTGTGTGTGTGTGTGTGTGTGTGTGTGTGTGTGTGTGTGTGTGTGTGTGTACTCACCTAGTTGTACTCACCTAGTTGTGTTTGCGGGGGTTGAGCTCTGGCTCTTTGGTCCCGCCTCTCAACCGTCAATCAACAGGTGTACAGATTCCTGAGCCTATCGGGCTCTGTCATATCTACACTTGAAACTGTGTATGGAGTCAGCCTCCACCACATCACCCCCTAATGCATTCCATTTGTCAAGTGTGTCAAGTGTGCATTTGTGTGTGTGTGTGTGTGTGTGTACTCACCTAGTTGTGCTTGCGGGGGTTGAGCTCTGGCTCTTTGGTCCCGCCTCTCAACCGTCAGTCAACAGGTGTACAGGTTCCTGAGCCTATTGGGCTCTATCATATCTACACTTGAAACTGTGAATGGAGTCAGCCTCCACCACATTACTTCCTAATGCATTCCATTTGTCAACCACTCTAACACTAAAAAAGTTCTTTCTAATATCTCTGGTGCTCATTTGGGTACTCAGTTTCCACCTGTGTCCCCTAGTGCGTGTGCCCCTTGTGTTAAATAGCCTGTCTAATGCATTCCAAATTTGTCAACCACTCTTATCATTTTGTCAACCACTCTGACACTAAAAAAGTTCTTTCTAATATCTCTGTGGCTCATTTGGGCACTCCGTTTCCACCTGTGTCCCCTTGTGCGTGTTCCCTTTGTGTTAAATAGACTGTCCCTTCAGAATCTTGAATGTGGTGATCATGTCCCCCCTAACTCTTCTGTCTTCCAGAGAAGTGAGGTTTAATTCCCCCCCTGTCGATTCCCTTGAGAATCTTGAATGTAGTGATCATGTCCCCTTGTATCCTAACAAGCCCATCTGTCAAGTTTCCATCGAAGTGAGGTTGTAATTCCCGTAGTCATGTGTGTGTGTGTGTGTGTGTGTGTGTGTGTGTGTGTGTGTGTGTGTGTGTGTGTGTGTGTGTGTGTGTGTGTGTGTGTGTGTGTGTGTGTGTGTGTGTATGTGTGTGTATGTGTGTGTGTGTGTGTGTGTGTGTGTGTGTATGTGTGTTCTGGAGCAGTGACAACCACGCCCTGTGGGTCAGCTCCCGAAACCCCCGCCAAACGAACGACGACACCTAGTGAGGACAGCGTGTACTGGCCTCGAGGACCAGTTTCCAGTCTGGTTCAGCACTCGCTCCTAGTATCTGAGCCTCCCATACCTCTCTGCTGCAGCTGTTGTGACGTCGTCCCCCCGGGAACACTGTGGTGTGTTAAGCCTGCCAGTGGAGTGGCAGTGGAAGGATTTACCCGGGACCGACGGTTGGAGACGATAATCCACTGGGGTATTGAGGACAGGAGGGTGATTGGTGGTATCACACGAGACTCCTGTCTAGGGCATACCCCTTTTATCGTTCGTGAAGTGGCCGTACCAGCCTTGGTGGCTCAGTACCTGCCAGCAGACCTGCTGGACGTGTGGTTGACGGCCTCCACGACGGTGCCCCCAGTGGACCTGTGTTGTGGCTGACCTGTGGCCAGGGTAGGCTCGGCGTTCTCAGAGGACACGTCTTGAGGCCACGAAGTAAGCACCGCGGACTCAGCACCTAGCTTCGAGGATCCATAGTCTCCAGCAGAAGACTACAGTGTTGATCCCCTTTGTAAAGTGTTAATACCCCTCCCCCTTGTGTACTCTATTTTATTATATATATTAAATGGTGATGGTGAAGATTATATTATATTAAGTTCTTAGCTTTCTTTCACAATGTGTGTGTAGTGGGTGAGTGTATAGTGCCTCACCCCCACCCTTCACCACCACCCATCACCACCATCCATCACCACCACTCATCACCACCACCCATCACCCCAACCCATGACAACCACCCATGACAACCACCCATCACCACCACCTGTCACCACTGCCCATCACCGTCACCCTTCACCACTGCCCATCACCACAGCCCCATCACCACCACCTGTCACCGCCACCCATCACCACACCCCATCACCGTCACCCTCACCACATCACCACACCCATTACCACCACCTGTCACCACTGCCCCATCACCACCACCCATCACCACCACCTGTCACCACCACCCATCACCATCACCATCACCACCATCACTCACCACCACCCCATCACCACCACCCATCACCACCACCCATCACCACCACCCATCACCACCACTTATCATCACCACCACCTGTCACCACTACCCATCATCACCACCCATCACCACCACCATCACCACCGCCCATTACCAGCACCCCATCACCTGCACCCATCACTACCATCCATCACCACCACCCCGCACCCCGCTCCCCCCCCCCCTCCATCACCACCACCCATCACCAACAAAACTATTACACCACAACTCTCCTCACACGACTGCGAGCTTCTACTTATATAAATATTTAATTCATTACGATATTGGTATTTGTAATATAATGAAGTAGTCATCAGTGTTGGTGGAGCGCCGCTGCTACAGTCCTCTTCCCCACAGTATGAGGAAGCTGTGGTGTGCAGCAGTGTTGGTGGTGACGCTGGTGAGTGTGGTGAGGCCTCAGTGTATCTCCAACAATGACAAGCTGGTGGTGACCTCCCCACCTGACCTGGCCCACATCACCCCCTTCAGCTTGGACCTCTTCAAGCAGCTCTATCCACCCACCGCCACAGGAAACTTTTTCTTCTCGCCCTACAGCGTGTGGACCGCCCTGGTCCTGGCCTACTTTGGGTCTGCTGGCAGGACTCGTCAGCAGCTGCAGGACACCCTTCGTCTCAGAGACCCTTCAACCACTCTGGCTACCTACAGGGCCCTCGACCGTCTGTGAGTCCACTCACATTCCTCACTTGTCATCTTAATTATTATATGTATAATTGAATATTTGAGTCCTCTTTAACTTGTTATTTATGAGCGTTTATAAACGCATGTATTATATATAATAATTAAGATGCCCCTACAGAACCGCAGAGAGACAGAGCAACACGAGTGACTATGTGATAGACTTGGCCAACAAAGTGTATGTGAAGAACGGCATCCCTCTTCGGGACTGCATCAGAGATGTCCTTAAGAAAGAGGTGGAGAACATCGACTTCTCACAGGTCAGTCTATTTCTGCATATCACCTTCTGTCTATATTTATTTGTGAAATATTATAATTCACATGAAGCCTCCTGGCCTCGTCCTCAGTGTAACAGCAGGGTAGAGTACTTCAAGAGTCCCTCAAGACCTCGTTACCAGTGTGACAGCAGGGTAGAGTACTTCAAGAATCCCTCAAGACCTCGTTACCAGTGTGACAGCAGGGTAGAGTACTTCAAGAGTCCCTCAAGACCTCGTTACCAGTGTGACAGCAGGGTAGAGTACTTCAAGAGTCCCTCAAGACCTCGTTACCAGTGTGACAGCAGGGTAGAGTACTTCAAGAATCCCTCAAGACCTCGTTACCAGTGTGACAGCAGGGTAGAGTACTTCAAGAGTCCCTAAAGTCCTCGTTACCAGTGTGACAGCAGGGTAGAGTACTTCAAGAGTCCCTCAAGGCCTCGTCAACAGTGTGACAGCAGGGTAGAGCACTTCAGGAGTATCTCCTAGCCTCGTCAACAGTGTGACAGCAGGGTAGAGAACTTCTAGAGTGCAGACGAGGAGTCACAATAACGTGACTGAAATATGTTGACGAAATCCACACACTAGAAAGTGAAGGGACGACGACGTTTCGGCCCGTCCTGTACGGGCGCCAGAGAGCTGAGTGGATAGCGCTTCGGATTCATAGTCCTGAGGTTCCGGGTTCGATCCCCGATGGAGGCGGAGACAAATGGGCAAAAAGTTTCTTTCATCCTGATGCTCCTGTTACCTAGCAGTAAATAGGTACCTGGGCCCGTACCTGCTGGGTACGGGCCCAGGTACCCGCAGGGCCCCCATACCCCCAGAAACAGCCTGTAGCAGCCCAGCTGCTACGGGCTGCTTCCTGGGGGGTATGTAACAAAAAGGAGGCCTGGTTGAGGACCGGGCCGCGGGGACGCTAAGCCCTGAAATCATCTCAAGATATCCTAGATATACCATTCTCAAGTCGATTGTGATGAGAGAAGGAGGCGAAGGCAATAAATTGGCAAGAGAGAGATAAGGAGAAGGAAATCATAGAGGAGGAAAAAGCAAGGCAAAAGGTACGAAAGGTAAAGTATAATAAAGGAATAAGAATAATTCTTAAAAAATAAAGGAATAAGAAATAATTCTTAAAAAATAAAGGAATAACAAATAATTAAAATATAATAAAGGAATAAAAAAAAGGATCGTTAGAGAAAACAAGGAAAAAAAAGAAAGAAGCAAACTAAGATAAATGTAAGGGTAAGCCTACATTAGGTCACGCTTGTTAGAAAGTTTAGAGCAGTTGAGTATATACTGTGAAAGGTAAGAGTCAACAGCAATAAAACCAGGACTCAAGTTCATGTTGGTTATGTTGTGTATCAGAGCCGATTCAACACGACGGCGTCTGTGTAGAGGCAGGAAAGATTATTTTGAAGGAAGACCAGTCAATAGAATGATTAGAATCCCAAACATGACAGAAGAGAGCATTGTTTGTGTCTGCAGACTTAACACTTCTTTGTGTTCTTTAAGTCTGTCATTAAGTGTACGGCCAGTTTCACCTAAGTATTGGAGAGGACAAGACGAACAGGAAATAGATTAGACACCAGCGGCATTAGAAGCAGGAGGAGCAGTGTGAACTAGATTGCTGCGAAGTGTGTTAGTTTGTCGAAAGGTGAGTTTTATGTCAAGAGGACGAAAGGTATTAGTAAACGTTTTGAGTTCAGATATGAAGGGAAGGCAGAGCACAGTGCTACTAGAGTTGGAAGCAGGTTTAGCATGAAAGAAATTTCGATTAGCTTGAGAGTAGGCACAGTATATAAAATACAAAGGGTAACCAAGGCGAGAGAATGATTTGTAGATAAAGGCAATTTCAGAATCAAGAAACTGAGGGTCGCTGATGCGTAGAGCGCGGAGGAAGAGAGAGACGAGGACACTTTTCTTAACAGAAGGAGGATGGTAGAAGAAGTGAATGTACATGCCGCTATGCAGTGGTTTGCTGTAGACAGAGAAAGAGAACCCGGACACAGAGCTGTGAACGTGAACGTCAAGAAAAGGAAGGAGGGAATTAGATTCTCATTCAACTTTGAAATGGATGGAAGGAGCCTGATTGTTAAGAGAGGAGAGGAAAGGCTGGAAAAGACTAAGGTCATGAGGTCATAAAGAAAAAATGTCATCAACATAGCGAAGCCAGAGAGAGAGACGAGTATCAATAGAAGGAAGAAGTAAAAGAACAGTCTCGAAGTATTCCATGTAGAAATTGGCAAGAACAGGGGAGAGAGGGGAACCGATAGCGACACCTAGTTTGAGTGTAATATTTACCGTTGAAAGAGAAGGAGAGTCAACACAGAGTCTAATGAGTTTAAGGAAAACGTCAGTGGGAAGCGGGAGAGGAACAAGGACCCCAGTAGCCTTCTGTCTAAGGAAAGAGAGAACGTCATCGAGGGGAACATTAGTGAACAGAGAGTCGACATCATGACTAAGCATCTTACAGGATGGCTACAGGTGCAGTCTTTCTATTAAGTCCTGAGCGTGATGAAGGTGGGCAGGAGAAAAAGTGCCAAGGTAAGGCGTCAAGGTTTTAGCGAGCCAGTAGGCAAGAGGATAGCCGACAGAGCCCCGTGAATAAATGATTGGACGAAGAGGAACACCAGGTTTATGAGTCTTAGATAGACCCTAAAAATAAGGAAGAGAAGGGCAGATGACACGGAAACGTTTATTGAGATCGAAGTCAGGAGGACAAAGACTAGAGAGCTGTCTTAGTTTGCGGTTAAAGGAAGCTTTAAGGCGATCCAAAGGGTTAGAAGTCAGTGGGCATAAGTGCGGGAGTCAGAGAGCAGGACATCTGCTTTCTGGAGGTAGTCCTCACGGTCAAGGACAACCACCGAATTGCCTTTGTCGGAGGGAAGGATAAGAATAGGATTGTTAGATTTCAGGGAGGCAAAGGCAAGCTGGAAGCGACGAGGAAGGTGGTGATTTTTAGAAAACAAGCTGTCAAGTGGTGCCTCGTCACCTTTGTGACAGTAGGGTAGGGTTCTGCCAGAGTCTCTCAAGACCTCGTTACCAGTGTGACAGCAGGATAGAGTACTTCAAGAGTATCTCCTGGCCTCGATACCAGTGTGACAGCAGGATAGAGTACTTCAAGAGTATCTCCTGGCCTCGTTACCAGTGTGACAGCAGGATAGGATAGAAGAGTATCTCCTGGCCTCGATACCAGTGTGACAGCTCCTAGAGTACTCAAGAGTATCTACGTTACCAGTGTGACAGCAGGATAGAGTACTTCAAGAGTATCTCCTGGCCTCGTTACCAGTGTGACAGCAGGGTAGGATACTTGATGGTGGGGGATGGTAGGGTGATGAGTGTGAGGAGTGGGTAGGGTGATGCGGGTGAGGGGATGAGGGGACGGTAGGGTGTTGGGTGTGAGGGGGGGGAGGGTAGGGTGAGGGGGGAGGGGGAGGGTAGGATGATGAGGGTGCGGGAAAGGTAGGGCGATGAAGGTGACAGGGCAGGGTAGGGTGTTGGGTGTGATGGGGGAGGGGAGGATAGGGAGATAGTGTGAGATGGGGAGGGTAGGGTGGTAGTGTGAGGGGTAGGGTAGGGTGGTGGTGTGAGGGGGAGGGGAGGGTGATGTTGTGAGGGGGAGAGGGTAGGGTGATGGTATGAGGAGGGATGGTAGGGTGATGGTATGAGGGGGGAGGGTAGGGTGATGGTATGAGGGGGGAGGGTAGGGTGATGGTATGAGGGGGGAGGGTAGGGTGATGGTATGAGGGGGGAGGGTAGGGTGATGGTATGAGGAGGGATGGTAGGGTGATGGTATGAGGGGGGAGGGTAGGGTGATGGTATGAGGGGGGAGGGTAGGGTGATGGTATGAGGGAGGAGGGTAGGGTGATGGTATGAGGAGGGATGGTAGGGTGATGGTATGAGGGGGAGGGTAGGGTAATGGTATGAGGAGGAGGGTAGGGTTATGGTGATGGTCGTGTATCATCACCCCACCCGATGGTTGGGGAGACAAGGGTGATGGTGACACACGACACCATGTTATGGTGTCTTGTGCACCATCACTAAGGTCTTGTCTGAACACCTGAGCTGTGGTCACCACCATGTTATGGTGTCTTGTGCACTATCACTAAGGTCTTGTCTGAACACCTGAGCTGTGGTCACCACCATGTTATGGTGTCTTGTGCACTATCAATAAGGTCTTGTCTGAACACCTGAGCTTAGATTCTCTACAACAGTTAACTTCCAGTCCTCTGAAATTGGATTCAGAAAACTTTTTTCTTAAAATCCAAAGAACTTCTTTATATTACTTCTCTAACTCTCCCCCTTGAAAGGTCGGTAGAAACTATTGTCAGCTTATAATGTGATGGATTGAAGAGTCACGTAAAGGCACTGAGCTTAATCTTATCGTTATTTTGACAGGCGGATAAAGCCGCTGCGACAATCAACCAGTTTGTGAACAAAACAACGCGGGGCAAGATCCCAACTGTGGTGACAGAGAGCGACGTGGCACCGACACTGATGGCGTTGGTCAACGCCGTCTACTTCAAAGGTTTCTGGTTGAGTCAATTCAACCTAACCCAAACAACCAAGCAGAAGTTCTTCACCACCCCGAGCCAACACAGCCTTGTTGACATGATGACCCAACTTGGAAAATTCAGATTTGGTAAGGTTATATATACATATGCATATGTAAATGCATATGTATATATATATATATATGTATATATATATATATATATATATATATATATATATATATATATATATATATATATATATATATATATATATATATATATATTTGTGAGGGTACCACCTCTGGTGCCAATGTGGGGACCCATAGCCTCGGAGAAGAAAATAAAAAGTATTCAGAGGAGACCTTGTGGTCTCCTTGTGGTCACTGAACACTAATATTATCTTCTCCTACCACCCCCATTCTTTTGTATGTACACATATATATTTGCTTTATTTGAACCTTGTTACAAAAAAGAAGTTACATATAGGTTACAAAGATGGTTATCATAGGTTGTCGAGTTCCTCCAGCTCCTCAGATGGCGGGCAGGAACCCTGGATGCAGTGCGCATTTCCCCTCTGTATCGCCACGCTGAGGCGCTGGAAAAGAAAGCTGGCAGCTCTAGGGTCCCTTGTTTTTTCAATGAGCCTAGAACCCAGTTCCTTCAAAAAACTGGTTGCACTTTTACCCTAGGCGCCGAGTGTCTCAGAAGCAATGGGGACAAAATTGTAGTGGTGATCCAGTTCTCTATATTTACGGGATTTGGCTGCTTCCCTGTGGGTGGCAGCGCCACCTAGTTCTGCAACACTGAAGTTAATGTTGGTGTTAGCCAGAGTTGATACGCACGTGTAGTCCCATACCAACTGCTTGCCATTCTTCCAGGGGTTCACAGTGATACCATCCGGGCGACCAATAAGAGCATCAGAGTTACGGGGCGTTAGGTAACGGGGCTCTCTTTCAGCTGGGCATCCAGCTGTGGTGAGGCTCCTCTTGATGATGTCGTTAACTTCACTGTGCCTCGAGTGCCATCCCCCTGTGCTTTGGCAGAGTAGGCCATGGTGGCCGTACCTGTCAGCCACCACCTCGCCGCAAATACACCTATATCTGGTGTGGATTGGGGCAGCAAGGCGAAGGGCCACAGCAATTCGGAGGGCTGAATTGTGCTCAAACAAATACACACATATATATATATGTATATTGAAAACTCACACTCCAGAAGTGACTCGAACCCATACTCCCAGAAGCAACGCAACTGGTATGTACAAGACGCCTTAATCCACTTGACCATCACGACCGGACATAATGAGGTGATAGCCGAGGCTATTTGAACCACCCCACCGCCGGCACTCGGATAGTAATCTTGGGCATAGCATTTTACCAAATCACCTCATTCTTTGGGGCACACGTGAGGAACACAAATGCGAACAAGCCTGAATGGTCCCCAGGACAATATGCAACTGAAAACTCACACCCCAGAAGTGACTCGAACCCATACTCCCAGAAGCAACGCAACTGGTATGTACAAGACGCCTTAATCCACTTGACCATCATGACCGGACATAATGAGGTGATAGCCGAGGCTATTTGAACCACCCCACCGCCGGTACTCGGATAGTAATCTTGGGCATAGCATTTTACCAAATCACCTCATTCTTTGGGCATTCATTATGTCCGGTCATGATGGTCAAGTGGATTAAGGCGTCTTGTACATACCAGTTGCGTTGCTTCTGGGAGTATGGGTTCGAGTCACTTCTGGGGTGTGAGTTTTCAGTTGCATATTGTCCTGGGGACCATTCAGGCTTGTTTGCATTTGTGTTCCTCACGTGTGCCCCAAAGAATGAGGTGATTTGGTAAAATGCTATGACCAAGATTACTATCCGAGTGCCGGCGGTGGGGTGGTTCAAATAGCCTCGGCTATCACCTCATTATGTCCGGTCGTGATGGTCAAGTGGATTAAGGCGTCTTGTACATACCAGTTGCGTTGCTTCTGGGAGTATGGGTTCGAGTCACTTCTGGGGTGTGAGTTTTCAGTTGCATATTGTCCTGGGGACCATTCAGGCTTGTTCGCATTTGTGTTCCTCACGTGTGCCCCAAAGAATGAGGTGATTTGGTAAAATGCTATGCCCAAGATTACTATCCGAGTGCCGGCGGTGGGGTGGTTCAAATAGCCTCGGCTATCACCTCATTATGTCCGGTCGTGATGGTCAAGTGGATTAAGGCGTCTTGTACATACCAGTTGCGTTGCTTCTGGGAGTATGGGTTCGAGTCACTTCTGGGGTGTGAGTTTTCAGTTGCATATTGTCCTGGGGACCATTCAGGCTTGTTCGCATTTGTGTTCCCTCACGTGTGCCCCAAAGAATGAGGTGGTTTGGTAAAATGCTATGCCCAAGATTACTATCTGAGTGCCGGCGGTGGGGTGGTTCAAATAGCCTCGGCTATCACCTCATTATGTCCGGTCGTGATGGTCAAGTTGATTAAGGCGTCTTGTACATACCAGTTGCGTTGCTTCTGGGAGTATGGGTTCGAGTCACTTCTGGGGTGTGAGTTTTCAGTTGCATATTGTCCTGGGGACCATTATATATATATATATGTCGTACCTAGTAGCCAGAACGCACTTCTCAGCCTACTATGCAAGGCCCGATTTGCCTAATAAGCCAAGTTTTCCAGAATTAATATATTTTCTCTAATTTTTTTCTTATGAAATGATAAAGCTACCCATTTCATTATGTATGAGGTCAATTTTTTTTATTGGAGATAAAATTAACGTAGATATATGACCGAACCTAACCAACCCCCTAACCTAACCTAACCTATCTTTAGGTTAGGTTAGGTTAGGTAGCCGAAAAAGTTAGGTTTATATATATATATATATATATATATATATATATATATATATATATATATATATATATATATATATATATATATATAATATTTAGACAGTCCTGAGAGTGAACACTGGTTACAGTGGTCTGTGGTTACAGTAGACTAGCGTGACAGTCCTGAGAGTGAACACTGGTTACAGTGGTCTGTGGTTGCAGGAGTCTCGAGTGAGCTGGGAGCGACAGTGTTAGAGATGCCGTACAAGGGGAAGGCGGCGTCCATGTTGGTGTTGCTGCCTGACAACACCCCCGGCGGCGCCCCTGGCAACTCCGCCACGCCCCTGGACGCCATGCTGCGGCGCCTCTCCCACGACACCCTCCACCACGCCCTCACCAACCTGGAAGAGCTGGAAGTGAAACTTCACTTCCCAAGGTTCAAACTGGAGCAGACAATCACTGAGGAACTTAAGGCGGTGAGTAGTCAGGATGTTTTACTTGCATCTCTATATAAATGTTGTCAGTGTTAAGGTAAACATTTATGGAATGTGAGTGTGAGTGTGACACAGACAAGGAGATGACACATTGCTTCTAGCAACGCAGACTCCTGAGGCGATAGTACTTTAAGTAACGTTTTGGTCGAGAGAACTAATGAGCACCATTACACCAGGCTGTCTACTATTAATTTAAGGAGTAAATAATAAATATAAGTAAAACCAGACAATAATTTTTCTAGGCCTAATATATATATATATATATATATATATATATATATATATATATATATATATATATATATATATATATATATATATATATATATATATATATATATATATATATATATATATATATATATATGTGTGTACTGTATTAGGCCTAGGATTGCTGGTGGAGGTTAGTATTGGTAAGGTCTTATACTAAGACATGAGCTGTCTTACCAGTAAGGGTTGAGGGGCCACAGGGCTATCAACACTACAGACCAGGCTTCGCGGGGCGGGTCTCGTCGACACTTAAAATACTTAACAAATTGTAAAGCTGTTTATCCAGACAATTCCTTCAAAAGGTCAGATGTAAGACAAACAAGGAGCAACGGGTTCAAGCTCAATAAGTCACATTGTGGAACACAAAACTGGAGATGCTTTTTGACCCTCAGGTAATAAATCCACGGAACCGCTTACCCGCCGAAGTCGTAAATTTCAAAACTCTTTGGAACTTTAAAATCTATCTTGAAAAATCACCAGGACCATTGTGGGTTCCTTTGACAAGTCACCGGCTTCCTGTCCTCGTCGAGGCCACTAGAGTGTTAGTGCTCCTCAAGTAAATTCAGGTAAAGTTATGTTGCGGGTAAAAAAGTTTTAGGTGTGTCCAACTTCAATAATACAAAATTAACTTTCTGGTGGTCTATCACTACACATTGATACTTTCTGGTGGTCCAGCACTACTTATTGGTACTTCCTGGAGGTCTATAGTAGTAGGATTGACAGCTTAGGAATAATTTTTTTTTTTTTTTGAAGATCATATCTGCGGACCATGGTATTGAGCGAACTCCCAAAAAATTCTCGTTGCCGACCACCATACTGAATGAACTCCCAAAAGTCAGTGCTGCTGACCACTGTATTTAGCGAACTCCAAAGAAGTCATCGCTCTGTCACATAGTTTCAGGCTGATTTTTTTCAGAGTTCAATTTGAGACCAAATTTTTTCAAAGTCCATTTAAAGACCGAAATTTGTCAGCGACTAGTTTATGGCCGATTTTTTTCAGTTTTAATCCTCGCTGCAGTCTTAAAAGAGTTCTTACGGATATAATTAAACTCTACAGACTTGAGCAGATATTTCTTAAAAGTTATCAGAAGTTAGTTCTTGGACCCGATTCTATATATTTATAAGTGTAGTTTTGCTATTAACCAATCAATTTCCCTGAAATTTAAAACATAGTTATTTTAGACAGAAAATAATAAAATATATCATAATTCAACCCATCCTCTTGTTTAGACAGTAGTTATTGTAGCTATGTACACCATAGTATAAATATTGACGTGCTAAGCAATTATATAGTAGAATTTGGTACTATTCATTATATAGTTATAATAAAATTAAGCAATTTTTTAAAATATTCCTATGCGTAGTATAGCACACATATGTACTATATTAGGCCTCAGTTAGCGTGTATTAGTCCTAGGAATGTTTGATAAGGTGAGTTTAGGTTGTCTTAGCAACATAAATACAAAACCTTTTCCGGTTCGTCCAAATTCAATAGAACAGATTTCTACTTTAGGTTTGCGTTGTAAGTCGATATATGTACTATGGTGCTCATCGTTACTATAAGTACTACTAAAACAGGAAGAGGGGCTGCATAATTAGACTGGAAAGATGTTTTGGCCAAGCAGATGGAACGAAGCTTTAATGTTAAAACATTAACATATTCTCTGTCACGAGTGTTCAGGATTAAAAGACTCTGAGTCATCCTGACGCAAAACCTAACTTGTAATACAAGTTACCTCAATATAGATGATATGAATAAAAGCCTAATAAATATTAAGAATACCTATAGAAACACTGACATATTTTACATGATCATACTATATTTACAATGACATACTTTACATGATCATAGTATACTTGTCGGAAAACCGATACCATTTACTAACTTTTAATACATTATGCAGATAATATTGCTGCCTTTTTTGTAATAAACAAATTAACTCATAGAAGATGTAGCACAGATTATTTTCTTCAGTAGAAAACGGGGAATATAATTGCCACATGTCGCTATTAGTTTTACCCCCAAATAATGGGAAACATTCTTAATACATCAGCCTTTGTACAGTAAACATCATAAAAATATTTCCATTTAATCAACTTAATTATCAGTACCAAAATAGAGTAAATGTGGGCCCTCTAAGCCTCGTGAAGACATCTAGACAAAACAGAGAAGGCATCAGTGGGAGAAGGCCACAGTGAATCACCATTTAAATCTAACAAGTCTCACCAGGGCAAATCGAGCTCCAATAAATTTTCCCTTGGAAAACTGTGTTATGGGTTGTAAAGTGCTCCCATTATCAACACGATCTTTGTCTACCGATCAGGGAGGTGTCCTTACCTGAAACCCATTTATTATCTTTACATTCCTGGCCAGTTATGTTAGGTAGATATAGGGTGAATACAATGGTTAGAACACTAGTCGAGACAAAATATAGGGTGAGCAATATTCTCAGATCTTTATTTAAAAAATTATAATAGTTCCCTGATATAGCTGTCATGTTAGGTTACTGCTATTATTTGTGAGTGCCTTATGACAGGTGTAATTGAAGAAGAAGAAGCACAGTTAACAACTACTTGGCACAACCAGTACATGTGTTGATGCCAGCCTCAACCACGAGGAGTGTTCATCCATATCCATATCTGCTTGTCTAGGTATCATCCATAAAGATAAGGCCTCCCACATTTAGTTACTAAAATATATAGTCGAATACTGTATTAAATGCACACTTTACATGACTATACTATACTTACACTGACATACTCTACATGACCATACTATAGTTACACTGACACACTTTACATGACCATATTATACTTACACAGACATTTTACATGATCATACTATAGCTACACTGACACTTTTCATGAGCATACTATACTTACACTGACACACTTTACATGACCATACTATAGTTACACTGACAATTTACATGACCATACTATACTTACACTGACACACTTTACATGATCATACTATAGTTACACTGACACACTTTATATGATCATACTATAGTTAAACTGACACTTTACATGATCATACTATACTTACACTGACACTTTACATGTTCATACTATACTTACACTGACACTTTACATGACCATACTGTACTTACACTGACACACTTTACAGGACCATACTAAACTTACACTTACACTGTAAAGTGTAAGAATTTGGGTGTTCTCATGTCGGAAGACCTTACCTTTACAATAAATCACAATAAAGTAGCTGTCACAACTGCAAGAAAAATGACAGGTTGGGTAACAAGAACCTTTCACACTAGAGGTGCTATACCGATGATGATACTTTACAAGACGCTAGTGCTCTCTAGAGTGAAGTACTGTTGCACAATGACAGCCCCTTTCAAACCTGGAGACATTGCTGACCTGGAGAGCATGCAGAGATTATTTACTGCTATAATCCACTCAGTAAAACATCTAAACAATTGGGACCGACTAGAGCCTAAATCTGTATTCTCTTGAGCGCAGGCGGGTGAGATACATAATAATTTACACGTGGAAAATAGTAGAGGGGCTGGTCCCAAACCTGCACACAAAAATAACACCACATACGACCAGGAGGCATGGCAGGATGTGCAGAATACTCCCGTTGAAGAGCAGAGGTGCAACATATACTCTGAGGCAGAACTCAATCAACATCTGAGGTCCGAGACTTCAACACGCTTCCACTGCACATAAGGGGCATAACTGACCCACCTCTCACAGTGTTCAAGAGAGAACTTGATAAACACCTCCAAAGAATACCTGGTCAACCAGACTGTGACTCATACGTCAGGCTGCGAGCAGCCGCGTCCAACTGACACTTTACATGACCATATTATACTTACAGACATTTTACATGAGCATACTATACTTACATTGACATTCCATCTGTTAACTACCCGAACACTGGAAAAATTTCTTTCTAACGTCCCTGTGGCTCATTTGGGTACTCAGTCTCCATCTGTATCCCCTTATTCGCGTACCACCCATGTTAAACAGTTTATCCTTATCTACCCTGTCAATTCCCCTGAGGATTTTGTAGGTTGTGATCATGTCTCCTTTTACTCCTCTGTCTTCCAGTGTCGTGAGGTGCATTTCCCGCAGCCTTTCCTCGTAACTCATGCCTCTTAGTTTTGGGACTAGTCTAGTGGCATACCTCTGAACTTTTTCCAGCTTCGTCTTGTGCTTGACAAGGTACGGGCTCCATGCTGGGGCCGCATACTCCAGGATTGGTCTTACATATGTGGTACACAAGATTCTGAATGATTCCTTACACAGGTTCCTGAACGCTGTTCTGATGTTAGCCAGCCTCGCATATGCCGCAGACGTAATTCTTTTTATGTGGGTTTCAGGAGACAGGTTTGGTGTGATATCAACTCCTAGATCTTTCTCTCTGTCCGTTTCACGAAGCACTTTATCTCCTATTCTGTATCATGTGTCTGGCCTCCTGTTTCCACCGCCTAGTTGCATTACTTTGCATTTACTCGGGTTGAACTTTAGCAGCCATTTGTTGGAGAATTCATTCAGTCTGTGTTGGTCATCTTGTAGTCTCCTACTATCATCCTCTGTTTCAATTCTCCTCATAATTTTTGCATCGTCAGCAAACATTGAGAGAAACGATTCTATACCCTCTGGGAGATCATTTACATATATCAGAAACAGTACAGGTCCATGGACTGACTCCTGCGGGACTCCACTTGTGACGTCTCGCC